TCAATGATGTTTTTCCAAACTTGTAACCTGACGGCAATCATAACAGTGTACTATGAACATCCCGTAGGACACGAAAAACGGAGATCATTTTCTTACCTTTTGGTATACGCAGTGCTTCTTCTGGGATTCATCGGTTCCGCAATTTTCTTATGGCACGGTTGCTTCTCGCAAACGTCTATTTCTCAAGCCGTCGTAGAAGTTGAATTGATTTTAACCATGTTTCTTATCTTCTACCTGCTTTCCGTAGCCTTGGATAAAAACGATGCTGAATACAACAAGGAAGTCACTTCATTAAAATCAGACGCCTCGACGAAGTCGCGTTTTTCGTCATGGTCGTGGAAAGCCTGGAAAGAAAGCAAGAAGTCCTTATTCTTCATCGTTTTGTTTACGGTATGTTTGGTGCTGATTTTCAGCGAAGTGGCCCGCGCTCGTTTCGAAACAGCTTTGTGGGATCGGGATTTGAAAAGAGAAACGTCGTTCGACGGAATTGTTTATCTACTGATTATAAAATTCTGTGTGGGAACAGTTTTACCGGTAACCCTGTATGATTTGATTGATTCAAACTATGCCGGAAAGAAAGACAAAGCCACCATATCAATTGTGCTTGCATCAATTTAAAAGGTAACTTCGCCATTAGTTACAGAAACTGAAGTAGACCATCGCTTAATAGCCAGATAGATTCACTCGATCTTTATTTAGGAGTTTTTCTTTTTTTGGAAAGTAAAGAAACACACGGCCTCTTATTTACATTTCATTGACTCTCACTATGTCATGATATTCTTCTTTACTTCTATTTCCTCAAAGAATGTCGATAGGGTTGACGTCAGAGGCACTATATTCGATAGTTTTTGGAAAGAAGAAATTTGAGTGAAGATATCATTTGGGCTAACATGTGGGTAATTAGACTATAAAAAGGGAAATCGTCGATTTGTAATACTAATAGTGCTAAGTTTAGAATTTCTTTGAAAATATTGTTGCCAATGTTGTTAGATCCACGGTGACTAATATGGTTATTATTGTCCAACTGTACTAAGTAGTGTATAAAAAAAGAGCGAGTCGAGAACAAATATCGTACGATATTGCACAGTTGCTATTAATTCCCCCTTGTTAGAAATGCGCATAAAATCAAGAGTTGGATAATAAATAACTAGCTCATCAATCGTTTATGTGTGTAGTATTGCTGAGTATATTTACTCGTTGTTTATATTTTGACTCACCTTACGGGCTCGTCAAAAGTAATACGGTACAACTCTTAAAAATATTCAGTGATACCACGCGTTAAAACGACTTATAAAATATATCACTCTGCGGAACCACGTGATAAGTCTGTGAATGTCGTTTCAGTCTTTCTCTTTCTTTGATAAGAATATTGATAGATTTTTTCTTTATAATATTGCCTGTTGCAAATTCGTAATTCGTCATAATATATTTCAATACTCTCTTAGGCTTCCGTAACAATCGTTTCCTTTTCCTTTTCGCGGGAAAAACGTGAGCTGAGTAGCAGTAGCACACAAGGATCAGTCGAAAGAGAAAAAATCTTCCGAAGCGGGTAGGAAGTGAAGGATAATATGCTGAACATTATTAACAGAAAGGCATTCCAGTCCCATGTCGCAGATATCACTAGTTCAAACGCTCAAGACGATTCCTGAAGTCACATTTTTCTATACAAAAAGAAAAATATATATTTTAATTCTGAGATTCACTTTCCAAGTGGTGAGCCATTTGAGACGCGACATCAATTACAACCATTAAAAAGCAAAGTTAGGTAGGAGATCTTTATTCACATAAAATTTACAAATCATGTTTTACTTATCTGTCCTTCGCAAGAATCTTGAACTTCCATTTGGCAGGAACCTTCGTGAAAGTAAAAATTCTGCTGAACTGTTTCAAGTGAAGGCAAAACAAAGACTAACAAGCCAGTTGGTGTTTAAAGGGGTCTTGGTTTTTGCGGCTAACAGTTAATTTTCGGTTAATTTAATGCTAACGGTTAATATCTTTCCATTGTAATACCCAGAAAAAGTTTTTTTATCGTTAATTGTTTCTAAGACTAAAGGTTAAAATTTGTCTATATTTTCGCTTAATTGTGAACTGTTTTTGCTTGCATCCGGAAGTGTGAAAGACGCATAAAATAAAGACTACTCTTTTGAATGACGTGGGACTTTTCAAAAACGCTTAATACGAAAAAGTGAGTCGGAACGATGTAATAAACCATTCTTTTATACAATGTGCGCCGTCAAAGTCCTTTGTTTTGTGGTATTGGTGACATGTATAAACACTTGTTACAATGACCTTTTCTTTTCGTAGAAGCGAAGAAATATATTGATATGTCACTAAATACTTTAAAATGCGTCTCAAAAGCTTCATGAAAAAATTTAGTGTTGTCTTCATTTTTATCAAAACTTTTTCTTTAATCTTTCTGTATTCATCAGATCTTTAATGAAGGCGAATGAATAAAGGGGTTAAGTTTCTAAAGAAACTGTGATGCTGCGTCGTTGGGAGATTATCAAGGTAATTTGTTGTTATTGGCCACCATAACTGAAGTTTCAAAGCTGACATTTCAAGCATTAGCCCTTTGTCAGAGCGAACCACGCGAAGCGTCAGCTTTGAAAATCTTCACGGCGGCCAATTTACTTTATCAACTCAGTTGATAATATCAAATTACTTAATGAAGTTAGATTCTTTAAAGCTTTGAGGAGTAGCAGAACTGGATTGCGTGACAAAGATAAGTTGCTGACTAGAGTATTAATTTGCGTGCCATTCAATACTTATGGTATCAGACCACTGGTGCTTCTATTATACTTTTGAATACTTTAAAATATCACAATATCATTGTTTTCGTTGATCGCGTGCGGGAAAAATAAAACTAAGAACCGAGTTATGATTTGAAAATAAAAAGATAAAACTAGATCCCCCCAGTCCCAAACAGTTCGCGACTCCCTCTCAGTTAGCCGAAGGAGTTCCTTTAAACAATCATGGTTTCCACAGCCTTTTCATCGTCAAAGCTGGACTGTTCAATTAAGTCACTGAATGTAACAGGCAAAATAATTCCCACAACAAACCTCATGATGAAATCGTAAATAATTTCAGAATTTGTGACCATCAATGCATGTTTTTCTCGATCGAGAAGAAAGCCGCTGAGAACCATCACCAAGCACAGAAGTAACGTAGCTATAAATAAAGTGGGCCGTTTGTTTTCCTTGCAAATGTTCCACAGCACCTCGCAGTCTATAAAAACTTTTGAAGTAGTGTCCTCGAAGTCGTCTTTGAGATATTTGAAACCTGCAGCCAACAACAGAATGATGAACAAAGCAATGAAAATAAATCGGACGGTGATGAATACCGTTTCTGAAATATAATAATGAGGAAAACAACTAAACCACCAAATCATTGAGGAACCAATCAACCCAAGAGTCACTGCTGCTGCTATTTTCAGTTTTGAACATCTGTCTTGGTGTCGAAATGTGACCAGTGGATGTTCAGAATCAATGCACAGAATCGCTGTCAAGTTGCAGGCCTGAACGAACGTGAAAGAAATCGAAAACAGTTTGACAACATCACACGGTTGATCCTAAAGTAAATTTTTTACCTTGAAATAAACTCAAAAAATATTGTACAGAAACCCGTCCCTATGACTAACTTGAAATCTATTTATTAATCATGGACATCATTGAGCATTGAGTTGTGTTTTGCTATTTTGACTGCCTCATTTATTCGGATTATGCTTGACCCTTGTTGCTTGTTTCCTAACGAGGCAGAGACTCAATTCTGTATTGCCTGCTCGTGTTCTCAAATTTACAAGAAGCTTATCGACCTCGTTATGTTTAGGTCTCGGTTCCGTGGCTATAATTTGTTTACATTACTCGATTTTAAATGAATTGAATCTTTGTCCTCTGATTCTACGTTCTAATGTGAAATGAGAAGAGTTTTTGCCGAGTTGAGTGAGATCGTCTTTCAATGCGTGGGAAGCAAAGAATTGGTGGTCAGAAATACGTTGTTGTCATGACAATTTTAAAGCATGTTACCTAAAGATCGCTGCAGTCACGAAATTTGCGGTCATTCCGCATTAACATTAAATTTGAACTTGTTTTTTAATCCCAAACCCTCCACTATAAGCCGAACCACGTTTCTTGTGAAAAAATCTCCCAAACTTTTGTGTCAAATACTGAAAAATCGCTCGGCTTAGAGATGAAGAAATACGGTAGATATCTGATTGAAAATCTTCATCGATCGCGATGTTCGCCCATACGTTGTAACTTTGGATTTTTGGGCAAGTGACCTTCTCAAGACGAGCTCTTAAGAATCTGATAGAGTTTTTCCTTAGAAGTGTCAGGGATCTCTTGACTTTATTTCATCGAGGCTTCGCTTCCAGCGCAGAATCGATTTCCTCCACCTCTGCATCATACCCAGGGATTAAAAGCTTCGGATGCTTCGGAGTCGTATATTCTCTGTCCGAGTTTGAGTCTCTAGATGATATGGCTCTCAGTAGATACTTTGTGCGGTCCTTCATTGCAGCCTTGTAGCGTGGTCCCCGGGATGACGTACAACCTTCCCCGGTCCAGGTTCCAAGATGCGTAGTCGCGAGGAGGAAAAAAATAAGAGAGAAAAGCCCTTTTCTTATGTACGTGGAAAACCTCGAAGTGAACAACTCGCTAAAATGGGTTCTTTTCATCAAAGTAAGCGGTCAGATAACAAGTGATACGCTGTGGAAGTAAGGTGAGGTATTTTTATTGAGAATTTGACGCATTTTTTAATTCGTTAAAGCGGTCGCAAATATTCCCATACAAACTCTAATAATTCCGCCATGACTGTTATTGCGCAAGATGATCATCTCACAGCTGGAGCTTGGGCCGCCTGTGTTTGAATCAGCGAGGGGGGTTCTAAGAATTCCGCAACAAAATTAATTTTATTTTAAAAAAAAAATTATTTGGGGCGAGGGGCACTTTTGGGATGATTATGAATAAAACCGTCCTCCCTTATCATGTAATACAAACCAAGCGAAAAGGAAAAAATTACTTACATTGATAACGCCTAATATTTAACTGCAATCGAGAATAACTTGAAGACATCTAAACAGAGAACTGCGCTGAGTGCGACTTCAGGTAAACTGGCCTACAAAAGTGATTATGCGTAAAAGAAACTGGCTTTGGATACAAGAGGAGTGGGCAATAACATGCGGTATGAGGAACGTGCAAAAAAGGTGTAACTGACGAAGAAAACTTTTAACAAAGTTAACAAAACACACTAACGAGGAAAATGAAAAAATAAAGGAAAAAATAAACAGAGGCAAATGACACGAAGAAATGATATTGGCAAGCACTTGGATCTTATTTTTAGGACTACAGTACTGGGTCAAAAGGTATATTTGATAGGTAGCTCACAAAATGGAAATTAGAATTTGTTTTTGTTCAATTGGACCGTAAAATTGACAGTCAAAGGACTTTGATAAGTTTTGTGTTATAAGCAGAGCAATTTTCCATATGATGTATGTACTTAAAGTTATGAAGTGAAACACCCCTCTGAATTTCCATGTCAAATTTAATTGATCATCATTTAAAATGTTTTCAACATATTAGAAATCCCTCTGCTTATAACAATAAGCAACATGTCTTCTTTGAATTGATACTAAAAACATTACTTTTTATTAATTCCAGAAGGAGTTATCTTTTCTTAAGTAACCCCTGGTAGAACCCAGGAGGTGGCTCAATTAAATGAGTGGTATCCTATTACAATTGACATGTTGAGTCTGAAATATTTTTTTTCATGATCTTCAAGTCATAAGCTTTCCAGGGATATATAGTTTGCCTAAGTTTTGAAGTAAGTCCTAGCTGTGAAAAATGAGTGAAAAATGGGCATTTTTTCAGGTTTACCCCCGCCTTAAGTTTGTTAAAAGTTTTCTTCGTCAGTCACACCTTTTTTACGCGTTCCTCATACCGCATATTATTGCCCACTCCTCTTGTATCCAAAGCCAGTTTCTTTTACGCATAATCACTTTTGTAGGTCAGTTTACCTAAAGCCGCCCTTAGCGCAGTTCTCTATTCAGAAATCTTTCAGTTATTCACGATTGCAGTTAAATATTAGGCGTTATCAATGTAAGTAATTTTTTCCTTTTCGCTTCGTTTGTATTACATGATAAGGGAGGACGGTTTTATTCATAGTCATCCCTAAAGTGCCCCTCGCCCCAAATAATTTTTTTGAATAACATGAATTTCTTTGTCTTACTGACCATCGAGGTGAAAGAATTACCTCAAGGAAATAAAACCTCGCATTTCTAAAGCAGTGAGAACTCAATTTCTTTATGTTCGCGACCACGCATTTTAGGACCTGGATAGGGGAAGGTTGTTACGTCAGCCCAGGAACCACGCTACAAGGCTCATGACGCTTTGCAAGATTGAGAATTTCCCTTTCTTTAATCATCGACGACCTTCCATAAAGTACCTAAAGAAAGCCATGTCATCTAGAGAAACGTCATCTAGAGAAACGTCATCTAGAGACTCCAACAATGCACCTTCCAAGCATAATTCTTTATTTTCTTTCTAGGTTGTTGCGTGACTTTCTTCTCACTAAATGGCTTGAATGACGATGTCGAATCGGTTTCCAGGATGATGTCATGAGCCAACCCGCCCTGTTCTCCCTGTCACTCGGTCGTAAACATGAAGGAGATCGATTTTAGGATCTTCGAAAAATAACTTGAAAATAATGACAAATTATAATAGATCGACATCAATTCTATGGACTTTGTTATCGGTAAGACAAGGAAATTTATTAGGCCTTTCAATATGATACTGATTCAAATGGTCAGTGCTTAAAAGAACAAACATTTTGCAAGGGAACGGTCTTAGTAGTTCGATCCCATCAAGATGTTGGCCATGTCAGCGGAGAAGTTAAATACATCGATCGCTGTTGAGGTGACAAATCCTACTTATACTCACAACTTCACGAGTTCAGTGGTAGGGTGAAGTAACAATATATTTAAATTAGCTGCGAACGTAAGCATGAAATGCTGTCAAGTCAGTTAAATGAAGACAGGGTTAGTCCATTGGATTTCCTTTCCTCGTACAGACCATAGCCGAACCTGCGGTTAGCGGTAACTCTTTCTTAAGCTGTTGTCAAAATCCCTTATTTTTACTTATAATTGGATTAAAACTCCAATTAACGGGATTCGTCTTAAGTTAAAGTTGTAAATCTACGAGTTTTGTAACGAAGGACGATTACTGCAATATTTCGGTAAACTTAACTCAGTTCAATTACCACATTAATGGTAGCGTTTACGACAAATGATAGACAAGTTTTATCACGGTTTTGATTATTTAGTACATTTTGCCAAGCTTTTACCCGGGACAAATTTTGTCGGCGGTGCGTTGAAAATTTGTCCGCTTCAGCGAAAAATTGTCAAGTCGCGACAAACCATCCGCACTTGTAAAGTGTTGTTAATGACAGAAAATTTATTTAAATGAACAATTTTTTCGCTAGTGCGGATAAGCCCTTAGCTATTTGAGAACA